ATTGTACTAAGTACTCGTTGATTAAAACATTTTCATAATTCAAACCCTAGTACCAGCAAAAAAGAACACGTTTTCATTTGTATATCCTACATAGTGCTTCACAGTTTTATTAGTTTTTTTAATTTAAAATTTTATTTAAGTTTCCCTTTAATGTACACATGCTGTTTCCCTCACTAGCCACTGGAGGGCACTAGTAAGATACGTAACACTGCTGAGTTTAATGGTGCGTATATGTGTACATCTGCACTCACATGCATCCAGAAACAGTATATAGATCTTCTTCTGTTTTTAAAAATTAATAACCTGCTAAACTTAAAATGGAAAAATCTAATTATTTCTTAAGCCTTTAAGTTCAGCTTGTGAATCTTTATTAAGTCTGGCAAATTTGTATAATCATTTTTAAAGGAGATGTACATAAAGTTTTGGTCTCCTTTATAGTTTTAGATAAATGCACTTAAATATTTTAGATTTAATATAAATTTAATACACTCTTTTTTTTTTGAGACAGAGTCTTCCTATATGGCCCAGACTGGCCTCAAACTCGTGGTCTTCCTGCCTCAGCTTCCCCAGTGCTGGAGTTACAGGCTATTCTATTATCTTTTGAATATTTTGTCTGACAAGCTTTCCCAAGTATCATAAGTAATTATTTTAAAATCTAATAATTTAAACTAAAAATATGGTGAGTGCACTTATATGTTTCAAAACTGTCTAAAAACAAGTAAGATTTTTTAGGGGGATAAAGGAGAATGGTGGAGAGGGTGAATTCAAGTATGATATATTTGATATATTGTAAGAACCTTTGTAAATGCCTCAGTGCACCCCTGCTCAGCACAACAATAAAGAAAAAAATCAAGTGAGATTTTTACTTGAGGTCACAAATGTAAATTTCTTTATGAAATTTACATATTTTAAACTCAGAATAGCAAGGCTTCATATGATTCTATTAAGCTAAGTGCTCTTAACTATTATAAATACTGTACTTCAAATGCCATGTACATGATCATCAGTAGAAAGCAACATAGTCTGTTTAGGGACACGGAAACTGGACAATTGGCTAGGCTTCTTCACCAGATAATTTAATTGTTCGTGCACATCTGCCTTGTAGAGTAATTTAAAATTGTGCCTTAGAAAATGACAAATTATTATACATAAAGAACTTGTGAAAGTCCCAAAGTATTTAATTCTTGTGCACTAATAACCTGCTCTATGACTCACTGATTACCGGGGCTAGCTGTTTTCTAGAAGAAAGCTCCTTAGTCACAGCAACTCATCATTAAATTGAATTGTTAGATTCAGGTGAGGCTGTTCCTTTGCTGTGTATCTGTCTTTCTCCAGCTGAAGAGAAGGCAGGAGGATCAGGGAAGTTCATCCTTTTATGACAAAAGAATTGACACTAGCTCTTCTTTTCCCTTCCACACGAGTATTCAATAGGGAAGTCGGGGATAGCAGATAAAAATGGTGGTGGTCTTTGGACATGGCCATTTCTACTTGCCATGCATTGATGTTATGAACATATGCTTAGAAGTACTGCTTATTCTTAGATCAGGGTTTAATTCTGTGGGCAGAATGCAGAATTTGCCAAATAGGAGCTGTCCAATAGAAAAATCTTGTGCTTCCCCAACCATTGCTGGTGGATTTTTAGTTTTAGCTAACTCTCCCTGGTTCATTAGCAATCCACACACTAATCATCTGTAAGGTACCAAAAGAAATCTAACACCAGACACACCTGCTGGGGACATAATCTTAATCTGCATTGTCTGTGTGTATGCTCTTATGGCTGCTTCCACATTTATAGTTCTCATGAGAGCCTATGAGGTGGGAAAGGCTGATGTTTTAATATTCTTTGTAGAAATTAAAGGTCAGCCTTTCATGGAGGAAGGAGAGAGGGTTTGTGTTCAGAGAGATATGACTGTGTCACTTAAAACCTGGGAGACCTCTGACACATTTCCTAACTTCCATTGGCCTCAATTTCCATCTTCAAAATGGAAAAGAAAATAGCTATTTTGAAATACACTTGTGTGAATTAAATGAGATAATGTTCCTATAGTACCTATGGGGGTTCCTGGAACACTGACATCCAAGGAAGTTACAGGATTTGCTCACAGACTCATAGTATGTAGAAGAACCTAGACTCGGACATAGGTATTCTGAGTCTGGGACCAGGATTCTCTCTGCTCTACTGTGTTTTGTTTTTTCTCAGTATGGGAACAATAGTTGTAATACACTTTTAGGGACAGTGGCCCTACTAAGAGATGGGGTATTTTTAGTTTTAACTTGACTTTTAAAAAATTTAAATTTTAACTTTTTCCCCCAGAACTGCCTAATAGAAGCAGAATTATTGCGTTAAAAGAACTATGAATTTTACCAACTAGCAATGGAGGAAGATGGTTACTAACATCACCAATGAAACATATTGTCAAACTTACAGACTTTTACCAATATGATAGGTGAAGAATTGTATGTCAGTGTAGTTATTTTTTAAATTTTTTTTAAAGTTCTTTTCTATTAGCATATAATGGTTGTATGGGGGGGATACATTGTGACATGTACATATATGCTTAGAATATTGTCTTCATTAGAGTTACCCCTTTCATTATTCTCCCTCATTCTCCTGCCTTCTTAGAGCAATTTCTGACAGGTTTGATTATTCTATTTTCATGCATGAATACAAAATACAGCCACCACATTCACCCTTCTTCAGGCCTTTCTTATGCCTTCTCCCCTCCCACTGGTACTCATCCTCAGAAAAGACCTGTTTTACCTTCCTTTCCATCATTTTTTAAAAAGTGTAAATTGATATTCCAAAGGGATAGTTATTATGTTAGAATTTGAGCATCTTGTTGTATTTTTAAAGGCCATTTTTATTTGTGTGTGTGTATAATATATTCATGTCTTTGTTTAGTGGGTTTGTTCTGGTTCTCATTTTTAGTAGATCTTTATATATTTGATCAAAAACCCACTTATCTTTTACATTAGTGGAAGACATTTCTCTTCATTTGTCATTTATTTGTCTTTTGATTTTGTCTCTGGATGGTGGTGATAGTAGATGCTAGTATGTATGTGTGTTGTCGTTTTTATCATGCAGAACTTCTTTTTAAAAAATTAATTATTTGTCAAAAGTGAGTGGGACCATGGTTTCTCTTCTGGAATCTGATTTTAGGGATTTGCTACCAGGACGCCTCAGAATTCCTGCTACAAGCCAGGCATGGTGGCTTATTTCTATAATCCCAGCTACTCAGGAGGCAGAGATTGTGGTTCAATGCCATTCTGGGCAAAAAGTGAGTGAGATCCCATCTCAACAAATAAGCAGGGTGTGGTGGTGCAAACCTGTGACTCCAGCTACACAAGAGGAGGATTGTGGGCCAAAGCCAGCCCTGAATAAAAGCTGGAGGCTATCTGAAAATAAACTGAAACAAAAAGGACTAGGCACGTAGCTCAGGTGGTAGAATGCCTGCTTTGCAAGTGTAAGGTCGTGAATTCAAACCCCAGTACTACCAGAAATAAAATCTCTGGTAACCATTTCTAGTGGAATTTTGCTTATATTAAATATTTTCATTTCTGAATTCCTCATATTTATTTAACTAAATGCTATTGTTTTGGAATACATCATTTTTACACTTCTGGGTGGTAAGGGTTTCTTTTCCAAATTTGGTTCTATTCCCTTAGAGTTCTGACTTGTGGAGAACAGAGGCCCTGCCTCAGACATCAGCTTCTGCCACAGTACTCAGCACAGTGCTGGGCAGGTATGTGTTCAATAAAAGCTCAATAGCCAGGCACCTGTGGCTCACAACTGTAATCTTAGCTATTTGGAAGGCTGAGATTGGGAGGATCACAGTAAGAAAGCCAGGCAGGGCAAAGAGTTCATAAGACCCCAACTCAACCAACAGCTGTGCTCAGTGGTATGCATGCACCATCCCAAGGTATTGGGAAGGCTGCTGAGATTGGGAGGTTCCAGGCCAGCCCAAGCAAAAAATGTTCATGAGACCCCATCTCAACAGGGGGAAAAGCTGGGTATAGTGGTGCATGCCTGCCATCCCAGCTATGACAAGAAGTATAAACAGGAGAATTGTGGTCCAGGCTGGCCTGGACAAAAAAACTGCGACCCTATCTCTAAAATAACAGAGCAAGAAGAATTGGAGGTGTGTATCAAGTGGTAAAGAACCTACCGAGCAAGAGCAGAGCCTTGAGTTCAAACCTCAATATTGCCCCCACCAAAGAACTCTGTAAAGCATTGGTGGTCCCATGCCCTAGATCTGTGGAGGAGTTTGGGATGTTACAAGCTCCCTTACAAGCAGAAGCCTATTCTGAAATAGATCCCAGGTTATGTCTCCTGGGTGGGACCAGGTGATCAAGATGGCTCCAGATGGAATGGCAAAAGCTGATGGACTCTCAAACTTTCCTTTACTCCTCTGAGGACCTCTCCGAACCATGCCCCTCTGGAAGAGACAGGGAAACGACCCATCAGGAACCTTCCCCATTAGCTTTGCTATTCCAAGCTCAGAGTTTGAAGGAAGAGGAATGGAAACAAGCCAGTTCAAGAAGCCACTGGTTTTAATGGGGATGAGAAGGTGGGGATTTTGAGGCGAGATGGTGAGCAATGAAGCTCATTGTCCCTCTGCCACGGTCAGGGTTAATGTGCGGAAAGGAGATGAGCCCCGAATGCTCTCTTCTCAGACATGGGGTCAAAAAGCAGGAGCTTGGAGAGGGGGAAGAGGTGAGTGTTGCTTCTTGAAACAGGAAAGGAGTAAGGAGACACAAGAAACAGGGAGACACATTAGCCTTCAATGTCTGCACAGGTTGAACAATATTGCACTTCTGTGTGTATGTACAGAGAAGAGGAACTGAGTTGGTAGCAAGAAAAGACCAGGGGGACTCAGGAGTGAGGCAGCCTGTGAAACTGGAACCATCTCTTGAAAAACGATAGCACACCCTCAGTTCCCCTCACCCTCTACCCCAGACCTCTGTCCTTCCCATGCTGCCCTGCTGCCTGCCCTCTGCTTCTACTTCTTCCGCCCAATCTGTGCCATCAGGTGAGCATTGGCAGCTGCTTTGGCTCTCAAGTTCTTAGCTTTGGCAATGTCGAAGAGGATATTCATGATGTTAGTGGGAACGTCAAGTGACAGAGTGAACTTGGTGCGCCGGTCGCTTTTGGTCTTGTCCTGGTACTGCTTCCCTTTGTGCTGTGCTTGGGATGGGTATTTGTATCGGGTGCTTCCAGCTACACCCCGACCTGCAGAGCCAGGGAAAGTCTTTTTGCCCTTGTCCTGCTTTTCTTCCTTCTCCTCCTTCTCTCCTGAGGATGGGTCTTGACTGGGCAGGTAGTTGAAGCTCCTCTTGCTCAGCAGGGGCACATCCTCCAGCCGGCTCTTCTTGACCTCAGACAGGGCTGTGTTGAGGCAGCTGAAGACCGGCCCAGCTTTATAGAACTTACTGGAGAGGCCTGTCCTCGGGCCTCCCAGGAGTAGCAGCAGGAGTAGCAGGAGGTAAGCTGGCATCAGCATCTCTCTCTGCAACAGAAAAGAGGGATATGAGAGGGGCTTAGAGTTCAGAAGGTCATGGAGTAACTTACAATAGGATGTTGTTAATGTTCTTCTGTGAAGGTCTCAAAGTTGATTCCCAGACCAACATCAGCATCACCTGGGAATTTGTTAGAAATACAAACAAATCTCAGGTCTTTTCCTAGAACTAGCAAATCAGAACCTCCAGGGCCAAGCAATCTATCAGATGGTTCCGATGATCTCCAAGGATTGAGAATGGTTGCTCTGATGGTATTTAGGAAAATTATTTAATTTGTCTTTACAAGTAACCACTGGCCCTTAAAATAGCACATATGCTAAGTAAGCATTTAGCAGCCTGACTGGGTTGATTTTCATGGCAAATAGATTTTAGTTCCCTCATCATTAGCACGGCTGATTGAATACATTCTTATTGCGTAACAACTGTGGTTGGGCATCCAGTGAGTGTTTTTGAGGCAGATCTTTAAGACTCACCTATTAAGCTATCCTAGTTTCTTCCTACGTGGCTTGCGATGACGGGCAGGCACAATACATTCAGCAATTGGTTGAGACAGAGTCTTGTGAACTTTTTGCCTGGCTGCCTTCAATTCACAATCCTCTCTCTCAGCCTTCCGAGTATTTAGGATTACAGGCGTGAGCCACTGGTGCTTGGCTGTATGCCTTCTTTAGGCACTTGTTCAATGGTGTCTCCAAACGAAAGGCAAGAAGGAGGCACTGAGAAATGTGAAAGGATTACAGTCTAGAGTGACTATTTGAATCCACTGGTTTTTTTTTTTTTTTTTTTCAGTGAAAAGGAATAAAAAAACCTAAGCCTTAGTGTATGAAACATGTGGCAATGAAATGTCAAAAAAATCCATGTCTCTTTTGTAACCTACACTGTTAGGGCTTTAAGTCATCCTATTAGTTTTGGTCCACCGATTAATAGCATCAGACAAGACTTTAAATCGTCCTTTCCAGTCAGGGAGAAGGGGCTCATGCTGAGCTACGTATAGCATTCTGCCTGGTCTGCTCTGTAGTAATAGCACATAGTTGTGCCCAAAGGTCTTCAGAATTAGGGTCATCTGTGCTAGCTGTTCTTTAAGACAACTGAATGGTGGGCAGAATTAGCTTTCTGTGTCCTGGGACTGAACCCATCTATACCCCAAACTCCTTTGACTGATCTGTGGATACACGTTTCTCCAGATCTGAAATAAGGACATGAAGTTTTTTTTTTTTTTTCTACTTCATTGAAGTCCTTCATCATGCGTGAGAAAAAGTGAGGATGAAATGTCTGGTGTTTTAACAATATTCTGAAAAATAGGTTAAGTTAAGTGGAGATCACATATGAGAGTGGTAGGGTAAAAGAAGGAAGTTAAGAAAGTATACATGGTTGATGTACTTTCTGTATAAGAATTGAATATGGAATTTAAAAACCTGTTGAAATCACCATAAGAAGGGGCCAAAGGTAGAAAGGTGAAAAATAGAAGGGATATACCAATTCAGGTTATAATACATATATGTGTGGAAATGTCACAATGAAACTCCCCGTGTAGCTATCTTATACAAACAAAAATGTCTTTTTTTAAAAATGGAGAACAGGAAGGTAAAACAGGTCCTGTCTGGGGCAGGGGAGGATATAAGTAAAGGGTGTAGGAGGGTGAATATAGTGGAAAAATTATGTACTTATGTATGAAAATGGAAAAATGAGACAAGTTTAAACTATTCCAGTAGAGGGAGGGGGCATAAAAGAGAATGATGGAGGGGGTGAATACAACTATGATATATGGTAGGAACTTTAGTAAATGTCACAATGTATCCCCACTACAACAACAATAATTAAAAAAGGAAATGTCTGGTGTTTTATCTAAGCTCCTAGTGTAAGCACAGCTGCCGTTTTGCACATCTCACATGGTGATACCAACAGAAATGCGTATCAGAATGAACTGTCCCTTGGTCTGTCCCAGGAGATACATGTACTGAAAGGTTCAGCTCTTCGCATTCGGTGCTTTCCTGAACTTGGAGTTTATTTTGTGATGAATTATGAAACTCAGAGTAATTCTTTTCTTATGGTAATTTTTTTAAATGTAAGAAAAATTGGCTGAGTAAATAAACATGGACATTGTCCTGGGCACTCAGAAGGGTGAGGCTAACATTGAATGCCTTTGTTATGGTGTAGAGTAGGGTAGAAGGCCAGACAGTCAAAGGCTTAAGTTCTAGATTGAGTTCTGTATCTTACTGTCACTGACTTTGACCAAGCCCTTTCCTAAAACATGAGTGGGAATGGATCTAGGACTTTCAAAACTTCCTTAGGCTATAAATGATGGTTGGGACCAGAATTTACCATTAAAAAATCCTAAGCCTAGTTCTCTAAAGGTGGACTCTGTAAATTTCTGTTCTTTCATTTTCACACTCATTTCACAACACACACACATGCACCCACACATGCACACACATATATACATACAACTACACATGCACATATATGCACATATAAAATACTCACACATACATACTCACATAGAGTTTTCTGTATAAGCTGCTGCTGTTCTAGGCCATTTACATTGTTTCAGATGCCTTTCTTTTCTGTTTTGTAATTTGTTTGTTCCCTTGTTTAGCATAACAAAAATTTGAAGCTTATTTTCATCTAGCGATATTTTATGAGAAATACATATTTTTACCTAATCATATTTTATGAGAAATACATAAATCTTGATTTAAATAATCCAAATGTATGCTCTAGCCAGGTTTGGGTGTGTCACATCTCACAGTGAGAACCACACAGAATTTGGAGTTAGGCAAACACAGGCTCAAATTCTATCTTGTCCTTGTTTACCTGAAGGCAGTGGGCAGATTCATCAACCTCTGTGAATTTCAGTTTCCACATCTGGTAAGTAGGGTACTGATAACTACTTCATGAAAGTTAAGTGAAGGACTAAATTTAAAGTGTTGATGTATGAAAGTTCTTGATCTGGCCACACACTCAAAATGGGTTAGTTTATGTCTGTTTATACATAAATAATCTATAAGTTCCATTAGGAATAAGGTGTGGTATGTACACAACCTTTTCAGAAGTTCATTTTCTGCACATACATACACACACACACACACACACACACACACACAGAGATGACATCGTTTGAGTCAGTAATTTGATCCCACAGACCAATATCTCTCTAGTCTACTGACTTATCTTTTTGGCTGCAAACCACTCTTTTCACCTCTAATCTATGCAGATTCAGTTTGCCTTTAACTTAGTGTAGGTAAGTAAGTGATTGTAATTTACAGGGCTTCAGAATCCCATAAAGAAGTCAAAACACAGAGTAAAGGGCCCCATCCCAGGAGCTCCTGAATCACTAGGTCTTGGATTTGCACTTGCAGGTGATTCTGATGCTGTGGGGGTTGTGGACCACACTTGGAGAACCTCTGTTATATTTTCCAGCCCCTCTCTATACTCCTTATAACTACAGGCTGGAAAAATAAGATGACTTGAAGGCATCTTAAAGCTTGGGAGCAATTTTGCCTGGCTTGTTACCCTGAAAGAATTTTAAACACAGAAACCAATTTGGAAAGGATTAATACTAATGGGAAAGTACTGGAGAAACTTCCATCTTTCTGTCACTCTCTTCCTTTGTCCCCTTGTTTCTTTCACAGACCATTAATGAGCTCCTGTCTATGCAAGGCCCCCAGTGCTTTCACGTGTGAGGACAGAGGGTTGGAGTTTGAGGCTCTCTTTGCTCTGATTTCTTTTTATCCAGTTCTGAAAGGAAGAGATCTCTCTCTACAAAGGACTGGGAGAGCGAAATAATTTCTTTTTTTTTTACCAGGTGAAAGTTGCTTAGGCTATGGGAGAATATAAGTTGATAGGAGGATTTTGAGGTGTAGCCTTGGAGCTATCCTCATGCCTTGTACCTTGTGGGATTCCCACCATTAAATGCTCTCATTAAAACTTCTGCAGTCCGGCCTAAGGAGCCAGGTACAACAATGCTGCTTTTCCCTCTTCTATCTCTATCCCCTTCCTGGAACAGTGTTGTGCAATCACCCTCAGTCACCTAGAACTTTACACAAGAATTGCAAATACTGCTGATAACTCAATGCATTTTGTGTCCAAGCTCATTTCAGGCTCTACCTCTGTCTATACTGGCTGCCCCCTCAATGTGAACTAACACCTGAATCTACCTGCCCAAGTGTCCCCAATCCCTTAAAAACTTGCGGGGCACTTTGAGCATTGCATTTCTTTGGTATCTCCATTTCTCCTATAATATACCAACCTTTTGCTAAGCAGAGATTTACCCTGTGGGTCATTTTGTCTCTTAGCCGAGCGCTTGGAATCCTTAGAAGCAGCTGGCAGGATCAATAGTGCCTTATGCTAAATCATATCCTCAATAAATATTTGTTAAATAAGCTGACTTTCAATTTAGTATTCAGACACCTAATTAAATCAATTTTCCCCAAGGCAGGACAGTGTGTTTTCAGTGCTCTTTTGTGATGTATTGTCTCTCTGCAAATACATGTTATTACATAATGCAGAGAAAAAATCCTTTAGCTGGCACACCTTTTTATATTTGCTTGTTTTGCTTTTTATTTTGAAATCATAAAAATATATCTGGAATCACTTGAGGATTTCTGATCATGAAACAGTCTTGCCTAAATAACCTTGTATAGTTCTCCTAGGAAAAACTTGGGAACTTTTCTCCCTTGCTATGGGCTATGAATACCTGAAGCCCTTGGCTTGGGCTGGCCTCTGTATATTCCCCCCAGATATGCTACTCATCTTAATTACACGAGCAACTCCCTGGGAGGAGGGAGGTGAGATTCTTTTTACTACTTACTTTATTCACATTTTGGGGTTGACTTATAAATACTGAGCCTTTAAAAGCTTACTCTTCAAATCCCAAGACTCCCATCAGAGGAGAAATTTTTCATACAGAGGATGCTGATTGTGTCTAAATGATCCCTAAAATATGTCTGGGGCATAATGTCCTGCCTAGTGTTCTGTTCTGGTGCAT